GGGGGGGGGGGGGGGTCGAGGGTCGAGGGTCGTGTGTGAGTGTCGGCGTGCATGGCTTGGTCCAGGCTTGGTCACAGGACGATGCCCGGTGTGCGCATCTCTCACGACCGAAGGAGTGCCTGCGCGCGCTGTGTCCAGGGAGCCAGTCCTTCTCTCTGAAAGAGTGGCCCGCGTTCACCCGCACCCCCTCCACAGCCCCTGCCTCGCTCGATGGCCGTTTTGTTGCCACCGCCGTTTGCTGGCCCACACGCAGCGCTCGTCCACTCCTCATTGTTGCCCCCCCCTCGCCCCCCCGCGCGCCCTTGCCTGCTCAGCTTGTGCCCGGCTGACTCGATGCGAGCGCCAGAAGCGCGCGTGCCACCGACGGCGTGCTCGATCCGGACTGCGCAAAGAAGCGAGAAGTCACCGTGGCGGGTGCCAGGCCGGGTCGATCCGCGATCGTGCTTGGCGGTGGCTGCGCCGCCGCAGTCTCGACGGCCTCGACGGCTTCACCGGCAGCCGGCCCCGAGAGAGGGGGTACCGGCGTCTCTGGCGCCGCCTCCTCCGCCCTGCTGACATGCCCGCCGAGGATGCCGCGGACGGCGTCGGGGAGGCTAGGCTCGCCCAGGTCGTCGGCCGCCTCGACGGCCTCGCCTCTGGCAGGGTCCTCGACCGCCTCCGCCGCCGCGGGGGAGGGCTGCGAGCGCTCTTCCACCGGCGGCGGCGGCGGCGGCGGCGGCGGCGCTGGCGCTGCCTCCTCCGCGCCCCCCCCGCCCAGGAGGCCGCGGAGGGCGTCGGGCAAGCAGGGCTCGTCGAGGTCGTCAGCCGAGTCGTTCGCGTCATCGGTAGCCTATGCGATCTCGATCCACCGCGATAAGACCAGGAGAGCGCGGTTGAGGTGAGAGCCGTCATCCAGAGAGGGGCGCTCCGCCGCCAGTCCGGGTGCGGCCTGCGCCTCCGCGCTCGATCTTCGGGCGGAGGGCGAGCGGCCAGGTCCTGAGCCTCGCGCTTGCTCCCTCCGCCACTCCCAGCCCAGCTCGGGCCCGGGTGCGGGTGCGGGTGCGGGTGCCTGCAGCGGGCAGCGGCAGGGGGGGTGCGGGTGTGGCACGCACGGGCGATGTGGGTAGGGCGATGTGGGCGATTCGTGCGTGTCGCAATGTCGCAGTCAAGGCGGCTCCGTGGCGCCGTGAGGGTAGGGACGGCGCCTCCTCGGGTGCCTCCAGCGCGCCGCCGGCGGCGGCGTCGAGCTGCGTGCCACCCCCCTCGGCCGGAGGCGCCGACGGCCAGCGCGGCGGCGAGGCAGGCGGGCGGGTGCCATGGCCGGCGCCCACTCCCAAGGGGTCGGCTCGAGTGCGCTGTGATCGCTGCACGGTGCGCAGGCCAGGCGAGCCGCGCGAGTCCGCGCCACCAGCTTGCTCCGCCCCCTGGCGACGCGAGGCGGTGCTCGGCGACGACGCCGGCCGCGGCGGCGCCGTCGCGCGCGGACCCGCGGCGGTCTGGATGCCGCCGCGCACGCGCCCTTGCAGGTCGTGCATGAAGCGGGAGAGGTCGTCGTCTGAGAGGGTGGAGCTGCGCTGGAGCATCACGAGCCGCTCCGCAATGCTGTTGCGGTTCGCCTCGGCGCGGGATCGCTCCGCGTTGGCATCGACCGGGTCGAACTCGACTCGCTCCGCCAGCCGCTTCGCCGCGGCGCACACGCCCGCCGGGATGCCCGCCACCTCGGCGAGGAAGTCGGTGCAGTACTGCGCGGTCGTGCACGCCGTCTGCACTGACTCAACAAGCGGTCGTGCTACGCATACAGCACTACGTCGGT